GCTGCACGTTAAAGTAGATAAGGGGAGAGCAAGTACGAGAGACGAAAATTAATTTCTGTACGACCTATGTATTTGCTTCCACAAACACACTCAAATTGATATACGCAGTTTGAAGTGTAGAGGATAAGGATATCAAAGGCAGACAAAGTCAAACCGAAGAAGAAATTCAGTCTCTGAAATAGGACTTACTGAGAGGTTAGGCAAACGCATCGTCTAATTGAATTCCGACAATCTACTAATAACTTGCATCAATAGTTTCTTTCAGTCGTTAACGAAGATCAGATGGCCAACCAGAAAGAATAAACAACAAGGAGGTCTGACGGCATAACAAAACAATCAAGATGCAATTACCCAATAAATTTGCGTAAAGAAATAGAGATGGAATGAACAAATACTGAGGAGAGAGTTGAGAAATATCGCGCACACACACACACATACGCCAGGCAGTCCTTCGAGTGGAACCTGAACAGAAAGCAATGAGTTTGTTGCCCAGATATGAGATGGTGAAGATAATGGTGAGAAGCGAATGAAAGTTTTTGTAGGCAGTTGTAGAGCCAGTTGTAAATGGTGGGAGTCGAAAATTGAGTATAACAAAGGTCAACTGCTGCAGTCATTGTACCTAAGTAATGAAAAATAATAACAATTGTTGATAGGAAAAAGAAATCTGGGTAGCCGTAAGTTTGAACTTCCCTCTTCACCCATTGAAAATCAATAGCTTGGCTGTTGTCTACAAGCTTCTCTATGAAACCCACCTAATAACCAGATTATCAGTTAGCTACAAACTCCTCATTTTTTAACAATTTATAACATTAGTAAGAGATACTTTACTATCAACCTAAAATGATCACCCTAGCTGTTCCATTTGACATGCTTACCCATAGTCAAATTTATAAGGACTTACTAACGTCAAATCTGCTTTCATGTATATATTCTCTACCATAGCGTGAGTTTTATTGAAATTATGCAGTGGCTAGACCACAGATATTATTGTATTGGTAGTCTTACCTGGTAGGTTACTCATGGAAACAAGCTACTGGTAGTGGAATGGACAATAACTCAACTGCGGGCTGTTTGCAGAAAACAAATAAGCAGCAGTCGTACACTTATTTTATAAATTATTGTTCTCTTGGGTTCAAAGTGGACCATACCGCTTCAACAACACATCTGAACTTTGTCCTATTTTCTGATGTCCTCTTCACCTGAGTCCATGGTTGTTCATAATCTCCCATCTCCTCCCCCCCATAGGATCTCCTACATGTCACGCTGGCACTGATGACCGACTCGTCGCCTCCCCTTCAGGTTCCACTCTAGTGATGGCCTGCATTGAGCGCGATGTCATTCCATGTTCTCTTCAACGTTTTCCAGATGCCTTCCCATTTCCTCCTACATGTTTGTTGAGCGATCGGCCCTCGCATGTTGGTTTGTTCCCAGCCAGAATTTCTTGTTGCTAATTCTTTCTGGCCAGCCAGCTAGCCACGTGGGCAGCTGTTGATAAAAGTCCGCGGTGGAAATCCTTTTCTGGATACGCTAGTCAACTTTCTGGTCTGTATACAGGAACTGACTAGCTCACTTCACAGTTTTGTTGAAATTCCGAATCCGAAGGATTTTCATCAGCTGCATACAACCTGAATACTAAACTATGTATACATAGGCAAGCAATCTGAAATAATTTAAGCATATTTTAACTGCGAATAGCCAGTTAATCTTACAAGGGTGAAATAACATGCTGAAAATGGAGTAGGGGAACAAAGTATGCGAGAAATTTGAATAGTGAATTATAACCAAAGGTAGAAACATTATATATTGTACATCGCAGAATTTTTGAGGTAATTCACTCATAGATGCAGACTAATACTAGTAGTAGTTACATGATAATTTACGCAATCAAATTGAATGCAGTTAACAGGAAGGTCCTGGGTTCGAACCTCAGCAAATGGGTGTATACTAACGATGAGTCCCAAACCTGAACGAAACAACCTGTCTAGTACTTCTTGGTTAACGACACTTCAGAAAGGCCTATATCAGACTGAGTGTGATTTTGGAAGAAAATATATAGGTCGTACAGAAAGGTGATTGTCTACTCGCATAATGGAGCATTTCTTCCAAAGTGGTTGAAAACATCTGCAGTCAAAGTCCTAAGAAGTCAAAAAACAAGGCATCTTGTAGACTGAGGAAGTGATAGTGACTCTGTCAAGTCATTCAGTATTGCCGGCAGACAGCCAAACATGAAGATGCTATTACCGGAACTTGTGCAATTAGAGTTTATAAACCAGGTGCGTCGGTGGCAGAGCGGTTTAGGACGCTCGCCGACCATGCACTTGGTTCGGGGTTTGATCCCTGGCCGACGCACTCCTTTACCTCGCTAAGCCAGAAATAATAATTTTGGTAAAGAGGAAAGGTTGGTCATGAGGCTGCCAACCCCATCCTGTAAAAATTAAACACTGCTACAGAAACTTCAAGCCACTAGCTTGAAGCCCTAAGTTCCACTGGGGAATGTGAAGGAAAAAAACCAGGTTCCCGTATCCAAATAGGAATGATAGTCACTCTGAATCGACCGTGGTAGTATGTATGTCTTACCTACTAAATGTTATCATAATTACTGTAATTTATTTTTTACTCTACCTCTTATTATTATTGTTATTCCTGACTCATTTAAAACTATCTTTTATCAGTATCATTATCCTAACTCATGTTAACATTACTATTATTATTAATACTGTTAATATCAATATTATTCACTTAGCAATTTTTGACAAGTCCTGTCTCTGATAACTAATCGTTTACTTACGTGATGTAATAGAACCGTAATGCATTCTATCTTAATGTTAATCTTTAATACTCCCCTCCCTGTTATCTATCTGAACACGGCTTGAAAAACACTCACAACCGTCATTCTTCATGATTGATTCAATGTAGTTTATTTGCATGCCAGTATTAAATCCCCCTAGCCTAATTCTAATGACATATATATATATATATAACCCTGTGTGCAAAGTATTCACTTGTAGAGTTCTACTGAAGTTTGAATAAGTCATTTAATCCTTCTTTATTAACCTTTAATTTAATAATTCCCATTTTGTCGTGTTAAGAAGAAAATATTCAGCGGTGGTAGAGACTCTCTCCAACAACGAATTTATTATCAAGCTGTACAATCGTATATATATATATATATATATGGTTTTATTTTAAGAAATTATATCCGGTGAGTGAATTAGGTCAAAAGTGTGAATACATGAAATAATAACAGTAGTATGAAATGCATTTTATATATTTTTGATTGTAATCATGGTTAAAGGTCAAGTAACAGAACAATTAATGTCATATATAGAATAATGCATAAGGTGTATAGATGTTGGAAAGGGGGTGCATCATTATAGGATTAGTAGGCGAATATAAAATGTTACATAATATGGTGTGAAGTTTGATACGATAGGATTCAGTATTGTAAAAAGAAACAAAATTATTATTTTCGATTTAGAATGACAAGTGGAACAAGTGGGAACAATTCAGAGTGAGAATAACAATAATAATAATTATTATTATAGTAATAAGCATGTGGTGAGAACTGTCTGCTAGCTGAAATTAGTAGACAGCAATTTACGTCTGTGTTTACCTCCCAAATCTTGGTCATGAGAAAAATGAAAACAAAAACTGTGCATGGGTGGATACGACTCGCAGATATATTGTCTGACCATCAAAGAAACGGCCACAAAGAGATGACAGCGGGAAAACAATCAGTCAGAAGACGCTGTTTCTTTGCTAGCAGTCACGAATAATAATGTACATAAAAATTTTGCACACAGAATACAGATTTCATTTCCCGGATGGCGAAAGCTCCAGAGACTTGAACTAATCTTGAAGTGTCTAGTCTGTTCAACACTTTAAAAGAATTTACGTACCGAGCTATGTCTCAGTTAAATATTGTTGAACCTCTAGAATTTAAATTCTCGGGCATATGTTCAACAATCCAATGTAGATAACAGTCTGTCAGTTCCTCCAACTTACATGCTACTGCATGTATGTAGGAATTCATAAACACAGTTGGAGTTAATGAGATCCCGGAAATTGATCTACTTTGGACAGATAGTTTTGTAGCCGGGGATACATCGTTGAGATTGCATCTTTTATTCATGGAATGAATATTCCTTCAATTTCACCACCTTTGTTTGAATTCTAATTTAAGGAACACTAGAATCTTCTCCAGAGTAATATCTACTGCCTTCCTCATGTCACATTTATCGTACTTCTCTGTGAATCGGTTGAGGTATCCACTGTTCTTTCAACATTCATCGGTGAGAATGCTTTGGTTTTCTAATGTCTCTTCAGAGCAGAGCTGCTCTCTGATATAGTGTTCTGACCGAAAGTCTCTTGTAACCAATTGGACAGAAGCTATCGAAGTTTGGGTACTGACCACACCTCCTTTCTCTTGCTCTGTCTTGTCTTCTCTTCATGCATAATGTCAAGAAAATGTAGTGGATTATGGTGAAAAACATTGTATTGATCAGAGTGAGCATCCTCTTCATTTTTTCGTTCACGATCATAAGTAAGCTGTCAAAAGTTATGATATCCACGCCTTCATTTCAATGCACACATCAACGTAACTGGGAGAATCTATAAGTCGTAGACATCAAAAATGCCTGGGAATTCCTAGAAGCCTAGCACTCAGAGTAAACTGTAGTCGAGAGACACATTGACATAGGTTAGATTTACCAATCACATGGATAGAAGGTCAAGTTTTAGGTCAACAAAATAATTAGTACCAAGAGAAATGGAAAAGAGGGTGAGAATATCCCCAGAACTAGCCAATCACATTCATGGTCACCTGGAGAGATGGTTGATAAACTCTTGGAGTTGGAGGTGTTGCCTGGAAAGACAGTTTTTCTAACTAAACACCTTGACCACATTGTCCATTAATCGAATTGATTAGACAGTGACATCTATTCCTTTTGACCTCGCATCCAGTGGCACTCACTCACTTGTTTTAATTTTTCTATTTATAGATGACCTTGATGTAAGGAACGAATTTCAAAACACTCCAGCTATATCACATTCTCCATTACATTTTAATAACGATTTAATACAAGAAGATGTGGAAGCAGAAGAAGAACAGGAGGAAGAAGAAGAGGGGGCGAAGAATGATGAGGAGTTACAATCACACCGCCGCCAGCAACAGCCACACCATTATCAAAAGGAACAAGGACATGCGGAGGAGGAGAATTTAAATAACCAATTAAATTCACAATCTGATTTAAGTTGGGATCAAGAATTACTCTGCTTATCACATGATCGTCTGGTAGCTTACTTCGCTGAAATGAAGGAGTCTAATGCTTAATGTATTATTATTACTATTATTATTTATTCATTTATTTCTACGATTAGTCATCAACTCAAACTGATGTTGAACATTGGACACATTATCACTGTTGAATGGTTTCTATATTATCCATATCCACCTCTCTCCATCTCATTCAGTCAAATGAATTGGCTCAAACCTGCTATCGGAAATTATGCATAATGTATATAATAATAATAATAGAGATATCGCCATATATATATACATGCATTTCTTTTATGATATAAATCCCTGCTTACCTGTGAGTTATGGCTTACTTCAGTGAATATAATGATAAAACAAACGCTTCAATCAAATTACGCATTAAGAAAATATATAACTTGCACACATTTATAGTTAATCATGATTGACCATATCCACTTTGAAATATTGTCAATCTAAATTGAGGAGCGCACAAATCACTGGGTAGATCTGCATTTATTACTGTAAATTTATGAGGTGAAAAGAAATCCAACCAAAAAAAACATGCTAATGATGTGTGTTTAAGTTTACGCTGGCAGTAATGCTAATCACTATTGATTTACTGGTCAGCTTGGAAAAAACTTCGAGTGTCATTGTGTTGTACACCATACCAGGGGTGTGGAGTGGGGGGAGGTAACAATTTACTCTCCCTGTTTTTTGTTGTCATATTCATTTATTTATTTATTTACTATCAGAGAAGAAGAAGACGAATGATTGGTACTCAATATGACGCCATATATAACTAATACTACCCTTATAACTGGTTTCTTTGGTTCCTATGTTTTCTCCGGCTGGCTAATGGTCCACCAACTCAAACCGCACACTCCCGCAATTCCCGACCTTTTGAATTCTTCACCTATTCTTCTTTTCCATGACTTATTTAATTTTTTATTCTGTGAAATGAAAAGCACATCAACACGCACATAAAAAAGAGATCTTTTGAGGATTGAGTGAATATATATTTCAAACCAGTCATTCTCTTTACTTCTGGAACAGATGTATCTATATGTACATCATTTATCCTAATCTCATTTCTATCTTGGATATTGTTTCTTTTAATAACATGCTGGCGGTTTATTGAGAAGTGTCAAGGTTGCTGTGTGTGTGTGTGTGTTCCTAGTCTTCACAATCATGTATAATCTGTTTTCGTTTTTCTCAATTTAGGCAATATATCAGTGTATAGACATTTATGAGTATAAGATGTTTTTACTATTATTACTATTATTAATAATAACTGTGATGCCGATGATTAATCTGCGCCTGTAGTATTATTGTATACTATATATACATACATGTGTTTAACGTAAAACGAGTGAGAGAGAGATGGGTAGATTCTAACGCACAACAGAATCAGTTGGATAGTGCGCTTCTATCTTTCTCTCTCTCTCAATGATAAATGTACTTCTTCACCTAATTAATGACGGTAATTCTGTGGCTATCTTCTTTATTAGTTCATTATTATTATTATTATTATTATTATTTTCTGCATTATGTCACCATGAATACTGTGAGTATATTTCACTCTTCATGATTCCATCCATGTCTCTCCCTTTCTCTCTCTCTGTAGTATCTGTGTCAAATAAACAACTCTATGATACTTCAAAGTGAACATTTTAATCAGCTCAAAGATAGAAAAAGGCTTCTTCAACACTGTTCATTTTTAAATGAAACTTGAAAGCTGTTTCTCCCTTTTCTCTCTCACATAATAACCAATTGTGTTTCCTTTTTCCCCGTTTCTTATCGAATAATTATTTTAACTCAATGCCATCATTTTTTTTAGTTGATTTCTTTTTTTTTTGGTTGTGATACTTGGTGTAAGAGTTGATAGTTCCTGCTTTTCCACTCACTCACTCACAAACAAAATATTTATGCTTAAAGGGAAAGCTGAAATACAACAACACAAAAAGGTGGCAAAGTGCTTATTTCATTTTGCAATCAACAATAATGTATGGTTTATAAATAATGACAAGAATGATGACACTAATTACTTACTTACTTACTTTACTTGACTCTGCACTTCCTCCTCTTCACCACTCTCTTGTTGATAACTCTTTTATCATTTCTTCACTGTTTTGTAGCTGCGGAGGGAGAGGGGAAGTCAACAACACCTTCTTTATCATTTCATTACACAGTAATCTCTGCTGCATTTCAAAGCGTTCAGTGATTAATTAGTTCAATGTTTCCAACCTTCCCTTCTATCTGTATTCTTTTTCTTCTTCTTCGGAAACCCATGTTTTATCTTCATTCTTTTTGCATAGGCTTCAATTATCATGAAAAAGAAGAATATTAATTATAATTATTAAAGATAAATGGAAATAATAAATAATGACAATAATTAATTAATAATAATTATAAAAACAACATAAGATGTGAAATATGCTGATATTGTTTTTTTCATTGTTTTATGCTGCTCGGAAAATTAGTGAATAGTAATTAATACTACTTTACGACAAAGTGAGTGAGCGAGTGAGTAACCCATGGGGATGTTTGCAAAAGAATTATACTATGATTATTTATGCTGTCTTGGGCTCCTAGTGGAAGATTGAATTTATGTGACATCAAACATAAATCATCCACGCGCGAAATCCAGGTCTTCTAGCATCTTCACTTCGGTCCAGGATATCCCTGTCTTCTCGTTTCCCACTCAGCATCTGATGCATAATCCAGTTCACAACAATTAGAAATATCATTGGTGATAATAAGCATCCTTTTCTGACTCCTGTGTTTACTCCAAACGCCTCGCTGAGTTTTCCGTTGTGGATCACTTGACATGTGCCGTTGTCGTCGGTGCGTCGGTGGCACAGTGATTAGAACTCTCGCCGACCATGCACATGGTCTGAGGTTCGATACCCTGCCGACGCAAACTTGACATCTATGGTCGGCCTGCGAAAATTGGGCTACCGATATCCATGCTGAAAATTCCATACTTGTACCAAAAATACAGTGTGGAATCAAGCTGTAATAAAAAATAAAAAAATAATGAAATCACACAGCTGTTGCATAAGGTTGATTAATATTTGGAGTATACCGTAGCACTCGAGTAGTTCCCAAATTACTTCGTGGTCAACGCTTTTGAAGGCCTCCTCAAAGTCTATAAAGTTGAGATGGAGGTTTGATTGCCATTCCATGCTTTGTTCTGTGATGACGATGCGTAGAGTTGCAATTTGGTCAGTACATGATTTCCCTGACTTTCCTGAATCCAGCTTGCTCGGGTCGAAGTTCCGTATCCAGTGCGTCCTTTATTCTCTCCAGGATAATGCAACTCAGTATTTTACTTAACGTTGACTGGAGCATGATTCCTGGCCAGATTTTGCAGAGTCCTAATTCGCCCTTCTTGGGTAGTTTCACGAGGTATCCTTTCCTCCAGTCAGTAGGCACCTTTCCAGACCTGCAAAAGAATTAAATCACTCAAATTCTGAAGTGTTTGGTTAGCAAGTATTTGATTGATACAAATGTTATATCGTAGAGTGAGTCCAGTGAGTACTGCATAGTAAGTAGCTAAGACTTTACCGGATGTTAAAACTAAGACCAACATATTTTGAGGTGGCTTTACTATCTGTTGAGCCACTGGGAATAAATCTAGTGAACTGAGAATTCGCACTTTCTCCTAATTCGCTACTTATTGCTGACTTAGTGATCAATGTCCGGTCTGGAAATTAACCAATCACAACTGGCCTACGTAAGTGATTAATATCCAGTCTAGAAAAAAAAGCCAATTAGAATTGGTTTCTATTAAATAACGCCTACTATTTTATTGACCATAATCACAGGCTGATTGACATGTGACCTTGGCGATGTTTGGAATCATTCTTTAGTGCGTGAAATATACTTTGCAGCTCATATTTTTGTGTGTTTCCGCTTAAGTTAAGCGGTGTGAAAAACGGAAAGCTGTAGTGTAATGTTGTCTCGTGTGTAGTTAGGCCACATTCGTGATCACAGTGTCCGCGTCCTGATCGACGTCCCTAATTCAACCTAGGATTTTAAAAAATATATAAGTGACACCACGGAGAGCCAATATCAGTGAAGAGTATTTGACTTCACATCCCACATGACTGACTTCATTATAACGGAGTGGGTCAGTAAATTAATTTCCAAGTTTTTGTTTGCCAGGACTTCGTGAACCAACTTAAAGTTGACTCATCAGTCACAAGTTATCAATTCTAGCTATATTTATTTAACAAAACCTGGGGAAAATAGATTAAACTTTCTAACATTTCCAAATCGTGAGCAAAAAAATGATGCGCAAGATCTCTCGGCGACTAAAAAATAAGTTAAGAAAGCTTAGGAAACTACTTCTCTGGTCAATGGCTTTGTCCAAATGTATACATGCATCGGATGCCAGTTTTTTGTTCAACTTCAGCATGATAAATGTAAAACTATCAAAAGGAAGATAGTTAGAGAGGACAATTGTAATTTCAGTAAATTCTTCTTCAGCAACTAAAACTATAAATCTATTAATTATTTTATCATACACTAGAAAGTAAAGCCAAGCTAGAATTATCTCAGAAGAACAGGTACAAGATGGGATGGATTTGGCTGAATCAGCACACCCGTTTTCATAGCTTCTTATCGCCTCAATATAATAAGAAAGTAGTTAATTGTCTAAGTTATAAAATACAGCGAATATGTTCAGAGGAATGCATTAAGGAAGAAATCTATAATCTAAAACTTACACTACTAGAAAATGGATATCTAAAGAACGTTTTGAAGAAGTATGTATCGATTTGACTCCCTCGATAGGTTTGGTTGAACCTTGTATACTATTTTGAAGGATTTTTAGAAAGGTGCTGAATGTCCTGAATTGACCAGATGTTCTGTCACTGAACTGTATACACGCTTTTGGTTTCCTTTTACTAACCAGGCTGGATAGTGTTCACCAGCGCGTTTTTCAAGTCGGCGCATGGTACGGCCAACGTACTCAGCTCCACAAGAGCAAGTAAACTGGTATATGCACGTTGAGGTGGCCCAATGCGACAGCTTGTCTTTCGCGTTCTGGCTGAACGATTTTTTGCAGGAAA